TTGACAATCAAACATCTTCTACCAATGCTTCTTCAATTGCTCCTCTGAGCTTCCTCATGACATGGGATTTTATGCCGGAAAATGTATAAAACTTTTTATCTTTTAAAAAACTTTTATCATTTTATCAAAACTATTTTTTATTTAGATTCGCAACAACGGCGGGGTCATTGTACACATCCTCCTTCTGGCGTACATCTGCCTTGCTTTGGGAATTGTTTGTGATATCTATTTTCTCTCTTCTCTTGAGTTTATCAGCAATGGCCTCAAACTTCCCGCGGACATTGCCGGTGCTACGTTCATGGCCGTTGGAACTTCAGCTCCAGAGCTCTTCACCTCGTTGATCGGCGTCTTTATCAGCCAGGACGACATTGGCACTGGCACCATTCTGGGCAGTGCAGTCTTCAACATCATCTTCATTCCTGCCGTCTGTGGTTTTGCCGTCTGGAAGTGGTGCAATGAACAGCCCAAGGTGAGCAAGTTTGCCATTCTCCGCGACACCATCTTCTACCTGATCACCATTGTCACCTTGCTGCTGTCGCTGAAAGACAATCAAATTGACTGGTAAGTTGCAGTGTATAAACAAAAAGCTTAGTATTTCACTGTTCGTTGTCTTTGGTAGGATCGAATCGCTGTCCATGCTGGGCCTTTTTATCATCTACATCATCATCATGTACTTCAACGCTCAAGTGAGTGAGCTGCTCCGAAACAACGACGAGTCAGGGGGTGATGGCAACACAGAAAGCACTCCACTGCTGACCAGTCAGAACGCCGTCCTCGTGCAGAGCTCTCGTGGTGACGAGTGGGAGGTGGGCGGCGGTGACAAGGGCGGCAACAGCGGAAACAGACAGCGCTACAGTTCAGTGTCTGAGCTGATTGAGGAGGAGCAGGACTGGGTAGAGTCGAGTATGCTCATGAAGGTGCTCATGTTCCCGGCACTTATTCTCTTCAAGATCACCCTGCCAAAGGCGACCAAGTACTGCTTCATCCTCACTTTTATTGTCTCCATTCTCTGGATCAGTGTGCTCACCTACGCAGCCGTCTGGCTGGTGCAGATTATCGGTAAAGATTGAAAAAGAGCTAAAAAGTTGGTTCAAAACATTCACTTTTTTGCAGGCTACACTTTTGGAGTGCCCGACACCATCAGCGGACTGACGCTGCTCGCAGCTGGAACCTCCATTCCGGAGCTCATTTCCTCAGTGCTGGTAGTGAAACGTGCCGGTTTGGCGGACATGGCCCTCTGTAACACAATTGGTTCAAATATTTTTGATATCCTGGTTGGTTTAGGCCTCCCGTGGTTCATCAAGAGCCTCATCGGAATGATCAGTCTGAGTACCTTAGAACCAACCCTGACGTTAGTTCCAGTGCAATCTACTGGTCTTCCCTTTACGACATTTTCACTTTTGATTACTGTCGTAGCGATGATCGGCACACTCTCAGCCTTCAAGTGGCGCCTCGGACTCGGTGTAGGTGTCGTATGTAGTATTATTTACGTAATCTTCCTCGTCGCTGCAAGCATCATTGAAATTGTGCTCAATTGAGTTCGGATGATGGTTCTCACTTTTTTGTCATCTTTCTATTCTGCCACTATATCTTGAATCGCATTGTTTTCAGTTCGATTTTTTTCTCCAAAGTTTTTTTAAACAACTCAAAAACTGTAAATTGTCTCACAATAAACGGCATTTTTCCCTGCTTCAACAACAGTTAACATTGTATGCTTGTTCAACATTCCACGCAATCAAAATGTTCATTGCCCTATTCGCCATCTTTGTCACCCTTCTCCTCGTTCTCACCTTTGCCATTGTCAACTGTGCGGACACTGAAACTGAATCTGTGAACGTCGCCGGCAATGACCGACGCAACGACGATAGCGAAGCACCAAACTTTCAAACTCCCTGGTCGTCAAACATCAGAGAGGACGGCAACTACGGCGCAGATGCCTCTTTAACGTTTACCTTCACAAAGCAGTCAAAGATGTTCAGCCCTCAGAGCACAAAAGCAAAAAAGCGAAAGTACTTCAAGAAGGTAAACAAGGAGAGGCACGTGTCGCCCCTGGTTTCATTGAGCAGCTCAGAGGAGACCCTGAGTAGTCGATCCAGCACCGAGTCTTCCCCCTCAGAACCACGGGTTGCCCCACTGAGAATGTCCCAGTCAGTGAAGAATCAGGTGGTGATCAACGATCCGCAGCTGTTTTATAAGGCGCGCACCACCAAGTGCCATGGCATGATTCTGGTGGACAATCAGGCGTACCACGACGCCCTGAAGGAGGGCAAAGCTGCCGGTTTGGCCTTTCCCTCTGACTCGGAGTTCACCAACCACGGCGAGCTCACCAAACTGGTGCGAGCTGAGGTTTTCAAGGAGGGAGGCAAAGGAGGAAGCACCGACTCGGCGGTGATTGCCCAGCGCACACAATCCTTCACGCCGGCGCCTTCCAAGGCCAGCAAGGTGATCAAGTCAAAGGCAAAGGTACTACCTAGCGCCATCAAAGGAAGAGGCGCCAAGAAAAGTCGCAAGTCGACATTTGGTGGCGGCAGCACTCTGAAGAAGAGGTCACACGCTCTCTCGTCCAAAGTGGTAGCTCGCAGCTTGAAATCAGTTCAAAAGTCAAAGAAGTCAAGAATCAAGAGCTCAAAGTCAAAGAACAAGTCAGTCAACCAGAGCATGGTCACCAGGCGCAGCAAAGAGCTGAAGTGAGGTGAAAAAGATGTGCACGGAAATGTGCTTGTAATTTGCATAAAATAAGGTTTACAGTTTACAAATAAAACCACGAAATGAAATGCAGCCAAACGGAGTGTGCTAAAAGAGGAGAATTTATAAATCAAACACAAAACAACAAGGCAAACGATTATGCGAGTGGAATGAACTGAAGGAGCACCATGGCGAGGAGAGAGAGCAAAGCGAGGGTGACCATCATGTAGAGCTTATTCTTCGCCTCGCGGTCCACCGACTTGTGGTCCACCAGCGGACTGAGAATCTTGAACTTGAGCACGGTGTTGCCGGGGCACTTGGGGTCGGTGTTCTGCTGGCAGATGGCCGCCTTATCAGTGCACACGTCCTTCACCACCTGCGGCTCGCGGTTGTCCACGAGGACCAGGCCTTTGAGGTCGGTGGCGTTCAGGCAGCGGTACCACACCTCCTTGTCCGGCGACTGGTTGATCGGTCGGAAGACGACGGTAAAGTTGGTGCTCAGTGCGGGGGTGCTGCCATTGCCAGTACCACCACCACCACCAGCAGTGCTCAGGTCTCGCATCAGAATGGCCGTCACGTGTGCAGTCGCACTGAAGTCGACCATCAGCGAGTGGTCCAGCGAAAAGAGCTCCACCGGATCGCTCTTGAGCCCCTTTGGGTACATGAGCACCACAGCAGAGGTGTCGCCGCCCTTGAGGCGATTCACCGCCAGAAAGATGTTCATGCGATTGTTGCTCTTGATGGCCACTACCTTGTCGCCGGCAGTCACATTGTGCGTATACACCTTTGCGCCGATCATGTTGAAGACGCGCACTTGGTCGGTGCTGTTCACGCTCAGCATCACCACGTCGTCATCGGTGGAGTTGTAGTTGGTGACGTGCAGGGCGTTCACCAGTCCCTTGGTGTACTCTTTGGTATGCTCCGGTTTAAAGAGGGTGAAGATGCACAGGGGTTCGCGCAGGCTGACCAGCGCCAGCATGCCTTCGGCGTTGAGGAAGTAGATGGCGTGGCGACTGACGCTCAGCGAGAAGAAGAGCGCACTGCCGATTTGCGACTCGCGACACTCGTCCTTGAAGTCAAAGGCAATGCCGTTGTTCCACTCACTGTTGATGAGGTTCTTTGTGCAGACCCAGGTGGCGGCATTGACCAGGGCGATGTAGTTGTCCTGCACACTGGCTTCAATGTAGAAGACCTCGCTCTCGGTAACGGCGTATGGCATGATGGGAAAGCTCGGGTAGCAGGTGCCATTGTCGGAGAGCATCTGCACGCCGTTGTAGACGCGGAAGAGAACGTACGGTTTGCGGCGGTCAAAGACGGAGAAGAAGCCGTATCGTCTGGCGCCGTACTCGACGTTCAGATTGGCGATGGCGATCTTGCTGCCGTCGTACTCGCTTCCAGGATGCATTGGGTCATCACTGTGGGCGCTGGAAATCAGCGGAAGGGAACAGCCCAACAGGAGGAAAGGCACAGCGAGAAGAAGAAGACGGTTCAAGGAAGACATCATGAGAGGAAAGCCAGTTAGCTGTGGTTGAGAAGGGGGCAAAATGTGAAAAGTGATTCAGCAGTCAGCTGATTCAGCTGTCAGCAAGATTTAGCGTCATTGAAGCTAAAGTTCGATTTTGTGGAAAATGTGCACAAATGACGGATTTTAGGTTTTTGGGCAAAAAGTGATAAGCTACTTTTAGTTTATTTAAATCATTAAAAAGATAAAATGTATCTAGTTTTTTAGGTACATGATTAATAAAGTGTATACTTGGCAAGTGAAATGACCAATATTAAAGAATGCTGTTGATTTAGTTGAGCTTTACTTCTAATCTTCTAATCTATATCTCCTTCTCTTCGGTTCTAGTTGAGCAGTATCTCGTAAACACTCGCCAGTGTGATGGCGATGAAGTAGATAATACTGCAGGTGATACCAACAGAGAGGCCCATCTTCCACCCGGAGGCGCCCAGCGTGACGACGAAGCTGATGACGCAGAGCATCAGGGTAAAGGCGGTGAAGGGAAGGCCGTTCGACTGTACGGGCACAACCGTCAGCAGCAGGTCGGTGGTGCCCAGGTCCACCATGGTGATCGCAGACTTGATCAACCAGGGCAGTCCCAGGCAAACCAGAATGTCAAAGATGTTGGAGCCAAAGAGGTTACAGAGGGCCATGTTGGCGAGGCCGGCTCGCTTCACGACAATCACCGAGGAGATGACCTCGGGAATGGAGGCACCGGCAGCCAGGATGGTCAGGCCGATCACCGTCTGCGGCAGTTGAAGGGTGTAGCCTACGGGTGGGAAAGAAAAGTTATAGCAAATCAGCTGATCACATATTACTGCTGCTTACCAATGATGGTTACCAGCCAGACGGCCATGTAGGTGAAGCCGCTAATCCACAAAATAGAGATGATGAAGGTGAGAAAGTAGTTGTGCTTATTGGGCTTGGGCACCGTCAGCTTGATCAACAGCACAATGGGCATGCAGACGATCTTCAGGAGAATGTGCGACTCGGTCCAGTTCTCCGGCATTCCGCAGGGCTCCTCCTTGATGGCCACCTTCGGGTCGATGGGCAGGTAGCCGTTGTTGCCGTTCGGCAGACCCAGCATGGAGCCGTTTCGAATGGCACTAGCACGAATTGAGTTGGAGCGACCGATGGGTCGGGTGAGGAAGGAGCCCTTGGAGCGCAGTCGGCCGGCGCCGCCGTTCTCCAGCCAGTCAGCCGACTTGGTCAGTGCGTGCTTCTCCGACTTGGTGAAGTTGTACTCGGCGTTGTAGTCCTTGGACTGCAGCAGGGGCGACCGCTCAGAGTCGGTCGTCTCCGAAGTCTCACTGTCCGAGTCCTCTTCCACCAGCTCGCCCAGCTGGGCGTTGAAGTAGAGGATGGTCACGTAGATGCAGTACAGCGAGAGCATGCACGTCGATTCAATCCTGTTGGTTGAAAGGAAAATGACATTAGCATCTTTCACAACTAAGCAAAATCAGCATCTATTACCAGTCAATTTCATTGTCCTTCAGTGCGAGCACCAGTGTGGTGATGGCGATGATGTAGAAGATGGCATCTCTAAGAATGGCGTACTTGTTGATCTTGGGGTACTTCATGCCACACAGGTAGATGGCAAAACCACATATCGAGGGCACAAAAATGAGGTTAAAGACGGCCGATCCGAGAATGGTAGACGTTCCAATGTCATCCTCGGCGATGAAAACACCGATCAGGGCGACAAACAGTTCAGGTGCAGAAGTGCCCAGTGCCATGAATGTGGCGCCGGCAATGTCAGCGGGGAGATTGAGAATATTTCCAATGTATTCAATGGAGGTGAGGAAATAAAGGTCACAGATGATTCCTAGAGATAGACAAACGTAGACGAGACAAATCAAGTGAATTACAATGCCCCCTCTATTTCGAGTCTATGAAAAAATTAATAAAAAAATTAGTGTTACTGAACAACATTTTGTGCTAAATAGTGTTACCTCATCTGACATGAAATCCTGAAACTTCTTTTCCGCAACTCCACTGCCGTTTTTCACTAGGAATTTGGCCACAAATTTGGGAATAGTTCCATTTTCTGTTTCTGTTGTGGTTGATTTGAAAGTAAACTTTTGCGTCTGCTTCTGCAGTGCATCATTGACTTTGTTGACGTACTTGATGACGAGCTTGGAACCATTGCCACTAACCAACTTAGCTAGTGTGGGCTCGTCGATGACCAAACCTTCAGCTGGGTCAAAGTAGATTAGCGTTTGGGGAGTGGTGGAATTTGCTGTAGAGTTTGCAGTTTCGGTTGAATTTACTAGAAGAGTAGAATTAGCTGTGGTTTCGGAGATAAGGAGACCTGGCGGAGCAGTTGTGGAATTTGCTGATGAATGTTGAGTTGTGGCTGAAGCTGCAGTTGTTGCTTCGGTTGCGGTTGAAGTTGTATTGGGAGTATAAGTGGAAGTGGAAGGTGTGACTACTGGGGGAACACTAGATGAAGTAGCAGTGGGTGAAGAGGGTGAAGAGGATGAAGTGGTATCGGCAGCTAGCGATGAGGTGGGTGTGACCGTCGTAGTGACCGATTGGCTGGCCGAGGAGTTTACATTTTGAACCGGCGGAGTAGAAGAGCTGGAAGGACTGGAGACTGAATGGTCTGTAGG